TGATCTCGTAACATTTCACTTATTTATAGTTGTAATTTCAAAGTCTTAATATTTGTAACTTTAGTTTCAAACCTCTGTGGATTCACTGAACATTTGTTCAAGTGTAATCGTTTTCAGTTTTGTGTTCTTAGTTCCTATTCCGATTTTTATGTACTGATGGAAACAGCTACTAGCCGGAATGTAAGCTATCATTTGTTTTGTAACTAGCTTTTATATAGATGCTTCAGGAATCGTTCTATTAACTGTATATTGACTAGACAAACATTGTAGGTACCTTGTAAGCTGAAGTATGTTAGAACTTGCGTATATTTACTGAATAATATTACCTCGCTTGACTATGAACCTGTAGTGACGTACTTTTGTCAACAGAACGCGATTGGTTCAATGAAAACAATTATTATTATAACCAATTGTACCAGTGACTGTTTTACTGTGCTCGTTTGTTTAACTGTGCTAATGACAGCCATTACACTTACTCTCCCGTTGACTTTGAACTTGTACGAATTCGGTTATGCTCAGTAACCACGCTTGTACTCCTTTGGCACGATCTCGGTATTCTTTCGATACCACGAGATCGCCAACAAATACATCTCGACTACAACCATCATCTGTCTTCTGATATTGGTCTACGGGGATCTTATTGGTTAATTGGCACGTGGTCTTGTAGAGGTGTTCATAGTCAAGCTCAACTCGACATCATGCTACAAACCAACGAAACCAACAATCTCACTTGCTCCAGTCTTGAACATTAGAGATCCCGCCTGGTGTGACTTACAACACTTTTCCCGTATCGAATACAGTTATCACTCACTGTTACTTTTATTTAAACAGCATATCTTTCATTAGGGCTGAGAAGTGACTATGTGGTCATTATGCCAATGTTTATTGCTGATATAATATATAAAGCTTGCTCATAGACCAGCCCTAACAAATAGAAGAGAGATATGAAGAAGATCAAATCTACGACTTCAAATGAAGATAGAAAAAGACGACTCGAAAGCATCAATCAAAGAAACGCATAGTCATTTCCGTAAGATATGCAACCGAATTAATCTGTAACGAAAAAAAGTTGAAAATCCCTTATAACATTTTGTTGAACAGTAGTATCATTTACTTGTTTCTTCTCCCTGTCATTTATTTAGCCTTTATTCGGATCTCTTCTAACCACATTTTGTGTTCATCTGTCTTCCTCATCTGAGCTCTTATTCTGTGACTTTGATTAAAGACTTACCTTTTCTTGCCTAATTTTTCTGTTGTATGTTGCCGGATTATTGACAATAAGGTCGCGTTCGGCTAGGCCTAAGGTCAAACGTGGTTCAGTGTGTGACTGTTTGCTTGAAAAGATTGCCGGAATGCCTGAACATAGATATCTGATCCCGTCTTGTTGAAAATATTTTTATTGATTCTCAGATATTGAACTCTTTTGTACTAACGGTTTCTTTTGTTCTTAAGCACGCTAATTTGTGTTAGACGAATCTTTGACTGTATGGCACACGCTGTACCGTTTGAGGTATTTTGTATTTTTGATATAATTTGTTCTTTTTCTTAGATTAGAATCGCTTAAATTGAGTCCAAAGTTTGTGTTTTGATATAGTTTAATACGAGTAACTCAAAAACACTTTGTACGCTATACAGGAGAACGTCGAATAAGTTTTGGTTCGCTAGTTATGCCTTCAAGTACAAAACAATTATTAGTTCATACAAACACCACATCCGCCAGAGCTTAAGTGAGAATCCAAGTTTCTGAAATAAGTTGTACGTCTTCTCCTTAAGATCATTATATACTTGTCACACTGTTGAATCTGTATGATCTAGAATATATTTATTAGTGTTAGAATTAACAACTGAAACTGGAGCGGACTCACCTGGTTCCCGGAATTTTATTTGATCAGCATGTCGGTTGTATGTACTTAAATCATTGATATCTGGAATTCGCTCTATAGACTTTCCAACACTATCATCCCCTACGATGTAATATGGGGTCGTTTTGTCGCAATGTCATGACCAATTTGACGTTCTCAATTCTCATTATCTTTTCATATCTCACATTCCGATTAATATATGTGAGTATTAGGGAATACATACTGACATATAATTTGAGGCATTCCATCACGTGACATTGACTTGCATAGAAAATATGATACATATTCCTCTTGCTTTTCATGTTAGAATACACAAGGCTCTTCTTCCAGTTATCAGATAAATATGCATTGATATGTGTGATTGACACATGTGATTCCCCTATACTTGATTCGCCTGCGAAACAATCAAATGGAAAATTTTCATCTGCCTTATATTTATTGGGATAATCTTGGAATTGATTTGAATTTTCTGCCTGTGCAAGCCTCAAATCTGTGTGAACCAGTCCTCTGACTGCTTCCGCAAAACTTGCTATTCCTTCTGATTCATCTTACCACTGACTAGGGATTCTATCCAAAACACTACAGATATAGCATTAGGATGTTTGCCGTTCATATTTTATTTACTTCGACTTCGTCGTATCGTCAAGTGAAAACCGACACGACCACATGTATGCACACGCACAGTGAATATGCACAAATCAATGTTGATAACATATTGAAATCGCCAGTGCCTTCAGTCTAATCTCAAATGCTGTGAAGATATTTCAAAGTCAAAACCGGCCGATCACGAGCCATATTTTGGCGATAGTAAATTTATACGTATAAACTAAATGGTCATTTAGACAGCTTAAAGGTAAGCCGTAACAAATAAAAAATAAAAAATATTAGAATACACAAAAACAAATGTGATTACCACTCTAGATAAATCAGTATTACCAGGGTAGATTAAGTGTAAGGAAAAATTATTTTTAAACACATAAATCACATTCAGATTTATGCAGTAAGGACATTAGGCCTACGTTAGGCTTTTTCAACTATGCTTCTGTAAGTGTATAGTCTTCTCCTTAATGAGTTATTTGAGAGAGCGCGAACCGCTGCTTCGGGCAACAGGTTTCAATGATTGATGATTAGGTGTGAAAACTTGTATGCCACGAGTATTTTGTACGTTCATAGCTTTTCTCCTCACCTGCTGTGTCATCTGAGCTGTGCCGATCTGATGGAAAGTAAAAGAGAGGATATGTTAGATCCGAAATAATTTCCTGGTATCCTATAAATCAAAACGAACCACCGTCTATCCTGAGGTAGGAAAGAGTAACGAAGTTAAAGATACCAAAAGTATTTGGAGTTTAACAACACATTAACCAATAACACCTAAAATCAAAACGTACCAACCCATTGAAATCAGAAGTCAAATGCATAGAGGTTCGAAGATATATTTGGTAGGCTATCTATATGTCAAGAGGTGACTAGTCTAAGCTGACTAGCTGTTGTAGATGTGTAGCAAGGCGTAGCCACTCGTGATCTGGTGCGGGTGCTTGACCAAACGCCTTCAGTCAGGTGAGTCAAGTTAAACTAATTCGGGCAACAGCAAACGTCGAAGACTTACAGAGCTATTGTTTTGGGGATTTATTTGCCGCTACAAGGTCCAGCTTCTGAAGCCATTCTTTGTATGGCAAACTTTGATAAATAGGAGTATTTGAACAATAGCACAAGCCGAAAATCCCAAGAAGTATAATGTGAGCACGAATAAACGTATTGTATTTGGAATTCTAAATCAAGCAGTCAACAAATACAAAGGAATCATTAGTTCATACAAACACCACATAAATCCCGGAGTTCTGGAACTGCAAGGGTAGCTGCTCTCTGTACGTTTTCCAGGCTATCCGAGTCAACTTTTAAATAGGAGCTTATACGCAGTTTTCAAGCTTAGTTCTCACTAATGCTGCGTATACTATAGCAAACATGTTAGTATTTAACTTGGTAAATGTCCGTCAAAGAACCCGTAGGGTTCGAAACCCCATAGCTGCAAGCTCGTGACAGTGAGCTGTGGTCTTAAGATCATGAATCACTGTCACCACAAAATCTTTGTGAGAACGGACTACGGTCAAATGCATTTTCCCTATGTTGTACTTATTTACCTTTGTATCATCAAAGTACATGTAGACGCACCTTGTCGCATTGTCAGGCATCAACCACTCTTTAGACCAGTTAACTACAATATTTAAATCCGCCTGAAGTACGAGAGCATCTGCGTCTTTCCTTATTTCTTTTCACTTCAAAGTGTAAAGTAGTCCATCTGTCACACGTTGCAGATTACAGTTACAACTTAGGAAACTCCTCTCTAGTAGTATCCCGAGTCGAAAAAGATTTAAGAGTCCTGGTGCCCTACGACTTGAAGTCTTACGCCAACTGTGACAGAAATGCCTTTCGAGCAAACCTGGCACTGGTAACATTGAAGCGCATTTTCGGTCAGTTTGACGGGAGAACTTTCCACATAATCTTCAATAGTTTCATTCGTCCCCATTTAGAGTACGGAAACATAGTATGCCCTCCTACACTCCAAAAGGACAAGGACACTCTGGAGCGTATCCAACGGCGAGCCAAGAAATCAATTCGGGGACTCAAATTTAAACCTTACGATGAGCGCCTCCAACCACTCGACCTTATATGCGTCTTAGAGGTGACCTTCTAATGGCTTACAGTATCCTTAACACACCTGGACATCCTCCTAAACACCTACTTTAGCTTAGTCCCAACACTAACTTAAGGGGTAACACCCAGAAATTAGAGATACAACATAGTAGAACGGACTGCAGGCACAACTTCTACTCATCAAGAGTTGTCAAATGCTGGAATTTGCTGCCAGCTGAGCTAGTCCAAGCAACTTCTCAGGAGTCCTTTAAGAGGCGACTTGATCTATTAAGGACTAAGGATAGTATCTTACTATGATTTACCAATTCATTGTTTTTTCTCTTTTATCGTTAATATACCTAGGTTCTTGCCTAGAGGCATTGGTGATCCCCTGCTACTAGACACGGAAGCCTGTTAAGCGAAAGCTTCTTCTATTCCATCCACAACCAATTGAAACATTTGAATGAAAAAGCTTGGAATTTGAAAGTAAATCAATTTCTCGAGGTCACAACGCTGTCCCGTGTTTGACCTCAAGGTTGCTCTTCGAGTTGGCAAAACTTGTTCAGCAAAGTTGGTGGTCAATCTGACTTTGAGCGTAAGTTATTCAGGTTTAATACTAAAAGTCATAAGGCAGAATCATTTAATGTGCAATTTAAGAAATTCACTGTGGTTCGTGTCATGTTATTAGGTATTAATAAAAATTATTGTGACAATCAATAAGACCCCAATGAACCGATAAAGGGGAAATAAAGGCGAAAAAAACGGAAGAATACGTAGGTAAATAAAAATGGAAACGCGCCAAAACGTCTGCTTCTCGCCTGTCCGGAGGAAATAATGCGGATTTCCCCCTTTTTGTCGCTCTGTCTCTCAAATGTCGCTGAATCGCCTACTTTTCGCCTAACTATCTGCTGAATTGTCTACTTTTCGCATAAATATCCACCGAATTGTCTACTTTTTGCCCAAATATCCGTCAAATTGTCTACTTTTCGCCTAAATATCTGCTGAATTGTCTAATTTTTGCCTAAATGCACACAGAATTGCCTATTTTTGATCCAACTTTTAAAATACCATTGGCATAACCCTAAAGGTCTCCTATATTCGCCTTTATTCCCACAACAAACCACACTAAAACTACAATCCACGGGAAAAACGGTATATATTTAAATAATTTTATTTAAAAGGAAAAGCGTATTATTGTACAACATTATAGCAGAAGCTTGAGCATCAATCGTTTTGCATTTCCATTGTAATTGCCAATTCATTGTTATTTGAAAAGATCTCCAAAAGAAGAAACAGGTGATGTATTATTTATAACGCATGTTCATTTAATCGCAAGTTCACTGACAATCAAACACACTTTCCCAACACTTCAATAGTTTCCCATGTAAGTAATAAAGTAAACTCTTTTACAAAATAATGTTTATTAAAATTTAAGTAGAACATAAAAAAATTGCACGGACTACTTCCTTTAGCCACGTATGTTCGGCTATTGAGAGTGAAAACAGTGTTCCTGTGAATTCTGAAGTGTAAAGAACAAAAGAAGTCACAACGATATCTGAATAACATGCTTTGGCACAGCCAAATACTTTAAGCTAAACTTACGATTATGTTCGTTAAGACTGTTGACTGTAACTATAGAGCAGTAGGGAAGTTATCACTTTAAATTTGTACATACCTGCTCGTGTTTCCTCCGATAACGCTTTATCAGTTAGTCTCTGACATCATGAAAATAACCTTGTGTCGCGATGTCGTACAGCTTCGTAAGGTCTTTTTCCTTCACAAAGGATGACAAGAAGCGATTTGTTAATGCACCTGAAGTTTAATTAATAAGTATAGGTTACTTCGTATGCAGCCGTAAAACCGGCATTTCTGAAGTGCGCATTTTGAAGAAGTGCCGAGCGACGTGAAATTACTGGCCACCTCAGGTGTCATGAGGTACGACAAAATATAACGCATTGATGTTTTAGGGTCATCACCCATTAACCTCGTGACCATTTCCATCTGTTATACGAACAAATTATTAAATTAATGTTGTTGACTTACAAATCTGTCCCTGGTTTCCTTCTGCTGCAAACCAGTGTTCAGCATCTGCAGTTCCTCTTCCGATGACAAAGGGAACTGCTGACTTGACAGTCCGCAATCGAATTGATGCGGATGTTCGCGTTCACTTGAATTCGACAGTAACAGCTTTACATTTGTACCCAAGTCAGTAATAGCTGAGGACATGTTTTGCATCATCGTACTCAAGTCAGTGACAGCGGACGAGATGTTCTGCACCATTGTGTACAATCTATCAAAGCTGAAAAAGTTCACTTGATGGTACAGTTGACTTACTGGGCCGGTGAAGAAAAACATACATGCCTCGATTCTACCGTGGAAGGTGACGTCTCTCATTGTGTAGAACTACTTCATTAACATTTACATAGTAATAAAACGTACTTGGCAATTGGCGAGACGACTCTGTCAAGTAACCGAAATTTCGGATATTGTACGTGGCTATTTCCAGCCTGCATCTCGGCCACATCCATATCTACTGAATTGTAAAGAAATCCTTCTTTACGCTTCAATGCACCTCTAAGAAATGTTAGTAAGATTATTGTACAGACCTCTTGGGTTTCTCAGTGTTCAGTGGCAATGTGTTTTCCTCGGTTGAAGTGTTTTTGCGGTGAAGGACACTAACATGTCCTTGGCAGACTGCAGAGAATCTATAGTAAATTATAGTTTATATGTTTTTTACTCACCGATTTCGTGAATGACTTTTTATTTGAGAAGTGACCAATTCTCATCTGGTTGATCGCAGTTTTGCAGATGGATGTCGACCAGCTCCATTGGAAAAAGGCAAAGTTCTTTGTCAACAATCCACTGCTTGGCTGCCATCATAAGTTGTTTCTTGCTAGGAACGTCAACAATGACGTATTGTTTGTTAGCGGGTTAAACATAGTATAAGAGTTAATGAAATGGTTTATGGTCATGAATTAAGCACAAATAAAGCAAAATACATTCACATTAAAGTATGCAACAATGGAACCATAACTAAATGATTGATACGATTAATGGCTGTACATTTACAGTCAATGTCCTTAACCGATACCCATGTGTGTTCATGGTTAACTACGGAGTACATAAATATTCCTATATCACTGGAATGGAAAGGATCTTCGAAGTAATTGCGTGTGTCAGTGAAGGACCTAAATTTCAGTAGTCCGTCCTCCCGTATATCAGTAACTAAACCAGGTTGTCCGTTTACTACTACCACGTTATCAGGCTTAAATGAAGTTATTTTACTATTCTTAAAAATAATTTCTTGTCTATTGGAGACCTCCTTAGCGGCTATTTGGGTAGTATTACTTAAACATGTAACTTGAAGCCTATCGCATAAAGACATTTTCTCAGCATAACGCTGAGCTGCTTGCTTAGCAACAACATACCCGCTATGCACAGAATTCTTTATTTGTCTCATGTAAGACTCGAATGGAAAGGTTGAAAAACAATCTAAAGGTTCATGTGCACGAACATCGTCAGGAAGGTGCTGTAACAAATGCACATTGTAAAATAAGTTTTCAGACCCATAACACCATTCATATTCGTTAAGAATGTTTCGTAAGTCTATTCTGACGGATTCTACAACGGTATTATGTAATTTAGGGTGTGCAAGCAGATAAATGGATAACGCTAGACGCCGAAAATTAAGATACAGAGGTTGCGGCAGTGTTTTTTGCAGAATCACTGGGCCTAAATATAGAAGGAACAACCTACATTCCGAAGCTTTCCATACCGATACGAAGTCTAGTGTGTGGCATTAAGGCTGGAAGTCGGACGGAGTACTTGCCACGCAACCAGATATTAAATTGTTTATGTCCCTAATTGCACATGAGTTCAAGTTAAGCAATCTTTTATGTGAGAATTCTATCCAGAGATCAGCTAGCTTCTTAGTGACATCTAGGTACATCATGTGCATAGGATCTAGAGGAAAAGTTGAGATTGTTATATCCCAGTGAAGATTAACACTGGACAGGATCAAAGAAAGAAAGAACAAGAAGACAGCAATTAACAACAGTCGAACAAGAGCAGAGAAAGTCCAAGCACAAGCAGAGTACATAGAAGCAAACAAGAAAGTGAAGAAGAGCATTAGAGCTGATAAGCAAAAATACGTGGAAGAACTAGTAACGACGGCGGAAAAAGCTGCAAGAGAAGGAAATATGAGACAGCTTTACGATACGACGAAGAAGCTTGCAGGGAAATACAGTAAACCAGAGAGACCAGTCAAAGACAAAGAAGGAAGACCAATCACTGAGATTCAACAACAGTGCAACAGATGGGCAGAGTACTTCGAGGAACTCCTGAACAGACCGGCTCTAATGAATCCACCGGACATCGAAGCAGCACACACAGATCTTCCTATAAATGTCAATCCACCAACGACAGAAGAAATCAGAATGGCCGTCAGACAAATCAAGAGCGGGAAAGCAGCAGGACCTGACAATATACCAGCTGAAGCGTTGAAGTCAGACATCGAAGTAACTACAAGGATGCTTCATCTGCTATTCAAGAAGATTTGGGAGGAGGAACAAGTGCCGATGGATTGGAAAGAAGGACACCTCATCAAGATTCCAAAGAAAGGAGATCTGAGCAAGTGTGAAAACTACAGAGGCATTACACTACTGTCAATACCGGGTAAAGTCTTCAACAGAGTGTTACTGAACAGGATGAAAGACGCAGTTGACGCTGAACTTCGAGATCAACAAGCTGGATTCCGTAAGGACCGGTCGTGCACAGACCAGATTGCGACACTACGGATCATCGTCGAACAATCAATTGAGTGGAACTCGTCACTCTACATCAACTTCATTGATTATGAGAAGGCATTTGACAGTGTAGATAGGAGGATGTTATGGAAACTTCTTCGACACTACGGAGTTCCTGAGAAGATTGTCAACATTATCCGGAACTCATACGACGGACTACAGTGCAAAGTAGTGCATGGAGGACAGCTGACAGACGCATTCCAAGTAAGGACCGGAGTAAGACAAGGCTGTCTACTCTCTCCCTTCCTGTTTCTTCTGGTGGTCGACTGGATTATGAAGACCTCGACATCTGAGAGAAACTACGGCATACGATGGACAGCTCAGAACCAATTAGACGACTTGGACTTCGCAGATGACCTAGCCCTCCTATCACATACGAACAAATGCAGATAAAGACAGCCAGCATAGCAGCAGTCTCTGCATCAGTAGGCCTCAACATACACAAAGGGAAAACCAAGGTCCTCAAACACAACACGGAGAACAGCAATCCAATCACTCTTGATGGCGAAACTCTGGAAGACGTGGAATCCTTCACATACCTGGGAAGCATCGTCGATAAACAAGGAGGTTCAGATGCAGACGTCAAGGCGAGGATTGGCAAAGCTAGAGCGGCATTCCTTCAACTGAAGAACATATGGAATTCAAAACAACTTTCAACCAATATCAAAGTCAGAATCTTCAATACCAACGTGAAGGCAGTCAGTTCTACTGTACGGAGCTGAAACTTGGAGAACTACAACAACCACCATCAAGAAGGTACAGGTATTTATCAATAGCTGTCTACGCATGATACTCAACATCCATTGGCCGGATATCATCAGCAACAGCCTTTTGTGGGAGAGAACCAACCAGCTTCCAGCTGAAGAGGAAATTAGGAAAAGACGATGGAAATGGATAGGACATACATTGAGGAAATCATCAAACTGCATTACGAGACAAGCTCTAACTTGGAATCCTGAAGGGAAGAGGAAAAGAGGAAGGTCAAGGAACACATTACGTCGGGAAATAGAAGCAGATATGAAAAAGATGAATAAGAACTGGGAAGAGCTTGAAAGGATTGCCCAGGACAGGGTTGGATGGAGAATGCTGGTGAACGGCCTATGCTCCTTCACGAGGAGTAACAGGCGTAAGTAAGTAAGTAAGCAGTGAAGATTAAACTACAGGTAACTTTCGAGGACTATTAATGGACTAATATTCTATAAATATTCTTATTGTATAGTTATTCAATAATAACATTATGTGTATTTATATTCCACTTGTTATAAGCTTTAATTTGACCCATAGATTATTACTATACGATTTATTATTCTTGAGTTATAGCCTGTCTATTAATTATTATCTCTCGCGTTCACAGCCACTTTTTGGCTTATTTGTGTACACATGTTATTTTCTATTTTATGGTACATTGTGGTCTGTCTGATTGATATACAAACCGAGTATGTCTCAAATAAATGATTTGGTTCGATTTGGTCTGATTCAATTCATATTGCAGAAGTTGTTAGTGTGTTCTGGACTCAAGCGGACGGGCTAAGGACATAAGACCCAATAAGGACGCTAGACTGCTCAGACCGGTTGAACGTCATTGGTCTTGTCATAGTGCAAATATTTGTATGAGTCGTATTCTGATTGTTGGATAAGTCACGTGATCGTAAGCCGGACATTAAATCATAACAGAGATCATATGAATTGAAAGCGTTTCCATAATTAAATGGCCTTGATGGTGAATAGATTGAGTCTGACGACGAAAGCTGTCGTCCGTTCTTAACGTATATTCACCATTTAGAAAAGTCGTTTTCCCATCAAGCGGAAATTTAGGCGAAAAGTAGACAATTCGGTGGATATTTATGCGAAAAGTAGACAATTCAGCAGATAGTTAGGCGAAAAGTAGGCGATTCAGCGACATTTGAGAGACAGAGCGACAAAAAGGGGGAAATCCGCATTATTTCCTCCGGACAGGCGAGAAGCAGACGTTTCGGCGCGTTTCCCCCTTTATTTTCCAATGCATTTTCTCCTTTATTGGTTGATTGGGCTTTCAAGTCATTAATATGTTTAATCATTTCTCGAACAATTTTCAGGGTTCGTTTTCTCGTCGTAAATCATCTTGTAACAACCTTGACGAATTGATAAACTCACAAAAAAGCCGTCCTCAGGATGGATTTTCCTGCTCCAGAAAGTAATCATAAAATATTTTCTGATAAACGTCTGGAATTTGTAGTTAGTCCACAAACGAACTTCAATTATGGATTGGTGGTTTTGTTTATTCTCGCATTATCATATTTTCTTTGGAAATTCTTCCGTTCTTGGTGTGAAAACTCGTCAACTGCTAGTGATTCACATCGCTTAGCTATGGAAGCTGCCAGAGAAAAATTTCAAGCTGAATTCAATGCTGAGGTTGCTCAGTACAAATCTAGAAATCAAGACAAGGGAGAAGACAAAAATAATGTAAGCTATAAAAGATATTAATATTCTACTACTGCACTTCTTTTACTCTTGATTCATTAATTACAAAACCTGGCACCATTATCCTCGTCGGGTTTTGTAGATTAAATAAAAAGTGTGGCCAAGAATCTGAACAAACGCTCGACTTTTTTACAAGTGCCTTTCTTAATCATGTTCAGGACTTCATACAAACTTAAAAGTGATAAGAACACGACGAACAGTTTATAAGTAGTAGTGACCAAAACCTACATTTCGTATCTTACCTCTAATGATGTGATCTGAGACTGGTAACATCTATCTTGTCACACTCATGCTCTAAGTCCCTCTAAATTTTAAGTTGGGTGGCATTCCGAACTCCTATTGGCCTGAGTTATATTCGTAAATGCACACTATCTGGTTGAGGTCCTCGTGATTACCATAATCAGTGGCTGGAAATGTAACACGGCTCATAATCGGTCACCATAACACAGATGTGTTCACTGCTTGTCTCCTTAAATCTTAGGTTTCAAAATTACTTTGTAATTTTTATCCAGTGAACTTGTTCTTTTTTTGTCAAATCCTTCCTCACTGTCACTAACGGTACTCCTACTTTTCTACTCGTTGTAATTCTCATCTTACTGTTTCCGCCTTGTTTACTTTGCTGTTATGACGTGTGGAGGAATCGAATACAGTGGTATTGAGTGCTGTTAGAGGTATGAGGGCGGTTAACACTTCCCGGTTGCCCACACCGTGGAAGGGTTCTGCTGGAGGTACCTGAAAAGGAAATTGGATTAGAGGTGGTCTTAGTGACCAACTTACGTCATCTATGGCGAACGCGAGATATCCGTCTATCAATTAAGGGACGAGTATACTGCGCGGCAGTTCGTTCCGTTCTACTATACGGCTGAGAAACATGGCCTTTGAGAGTAGAAGATATTCGTAAGTTACCAGTATTTGACCACAGGTGCCTTAGAAATATTGCTCGCATCTGCTGGGATCACCGGGTAAGTAATAGTGAGGTTAGACGCAGGGTATTAGGGAATGATGGTAAATCAGTTGATGAGGTTATGAATCTTCATCGACTGAGATGGTTGGGCCACGTGCTGCGTATGCCTGAACACCGATTACCACGACGCGCAATGCTAACCGGTGTTAGGAACGATTGGAAGAAAGTTAGGTGCGGCCAAACCGAAACGTGGCATCAGTGCTTGAAGTCACTAACTTCTGGTCTGAGCCATGTTGGTAGATTCAGACTGCCTGGTTGGGGTCCGCGTGACTATCGTAACCAATGGTTGGAGACTCTTGGTGACATAGCTCAGAATCCATCACAATGATGTCGGTGTATACACTCTGTCTTCCTTTAAACTAAGAGATTAAAATCACTTCAAATCTTTCTTTCTACGAACTAATTCTATCTTCCTGTACTATCTCCTTATACACAATCTTTCTTCTATATATTACCACCACTGAATTAACTACTCCTATGAATCCGGTGTTCATCTTGTTGTGCTAATGCGGTATGGCAACTTGGACCGATGCATATACGTGCCTGGTCCTACGTTGCAGCTGACTGACTGACTGAATATGACGTGTGGAAACTTGTATTGATACTCATTCGTACCAAATGCTCCGTTGGTTTAATCCTCTTAAAGCATCATGAAAAGTACCACACTAGTTGGAATATCAAGGTTCTGAACAAAAGGAAGAACCAAACAAAGCAGTAAAAAAATATCAGGCGGGAAATTTTATAAAATTATGGGATCACAACCCTATTGATTGTTTTTTCACTTTCGTTTTCATACTTATTTGTTAAAATAACGTTGAATATGTGGAATTGAAGAGAACGATCTTGATCGTTTCGTGTACCGTGACCACATATTATTTGTCGAATGATTTTGTGAATAAAAATAACTACCTTAATTCTCCAATATCTATTTAATTGGACGGGCAGTAGTTCTGTCTTATAAAGTATATTCTATTGAGATTTGATCCTGTAAGCAAATTATTCGTCCAGTCCTCACAATCAATTCAGAGTTCCATCAATGAATCGTCTCATCATAACACAACAGAAGCGAGAAAAAAATCCTACTTTTAAAATTTACTTCTGTTATTTATGCAAATGAAACTAAAGCTATCTGTTGCGCATGCCAGACCACCGACTGCCACGACGTGCGATGTTTTATGGTGTAGGAATAGGTTGGAAGAAAGTTAGGGGTGGCCAGACCAAAACATGGCACAAATCCATGAAGTCACTGACAAGTGGACTGAGCCATGTTGTTAGGTGTAGACTACCTGGTTGGGGACCGCGAGATGATAGCAACCGATGGTTAGAGACCTTGAATGACATGGCTGAAAATCGTTTGCAATGACTCAGGTGCATCCACTTTTTGCGTTCTCCCAAATTCTAATCTGAATTCTTGATGTTTCTTTCCTTTTTCTCTTTCCAAATTTATTTAATTGGATTATACTCTTTGAATAATATCTTCAAACCCTAATGTTTCCGATTATTTTATTTATTTATTTATTTGAACACAAAAATATTGGTACAGGGGGGCACCAAATATATATGCGCCACACAAAACAATGATAATTTGAAGAGAAGGAGAAAAAATAAATAAAAAATAAAAAAAGTAATAAACGTGGGGAATTATAAAAAAAAGAGGGAGAGAACAATGATGGGGAAAACGGAAAGGTACAATCAGAAGAAATCTTTCAGTTAAGGAAAATACAACCACTTTTTATGAAGAAAGTAAAAGAAGGTTACAGCAGGATCGCCATTGGCTTCTATTCTGAGCCATATCTGATAACGTCTCTAGCCACTGCGTTACACCGTCTCTCGGACCCCAGCCAGGGAGTCGTGAAGGACCAACAGAAGCTAGCCCTTTGCAGCTTTCTTTCATACCACGACACCATGTCATATACTTACCACCTCTCCGCTTTTTCCAACCAGTCCCAGAGTCGGCAAATAATGCACGACGTGGAATTCTCTGGGACGACATTCGTAGAACATGTCCAAGCCACTGAAGTCGGTGTTTCAAGATGGTGACACCAATTTCATTATCGTCTCTATGACCGAACACTCGATGCCGGACCTCTGCATTACTGACATGGTGTTGCCACTGGATGCCAGCAATCCTTCGGAGACAACGATCATCGAACACAGAGAGTCGTCTAACATCCTCAACTCGGAGAGGCCAGGTTTCACAAGCATAGAGCAAAACTGCTCTCACCGACGCGTTGTAGATCCGACCTTTTACAGCCAGACTAACATCACGAAGGCGCCAAAGGTGGCCCAGATTGGAATAAGCCGCTCTGGCTTTCACTATACGTGCATTGATGTCATCACTCACGCCACCACCAGCACTTATGCAGCTACCTAGATACACGAACTTCTCGACTGCTTCTATCTGCTCACCGTCCACAGTGAGTACAGGATTAGAATCCTGCCAGTCTTGTAGGAGTACTTTGCACTTCGAAGGTGCGAAGCACATACCATACCTACGGACATTGATTGCCAACTGATTAAGTGCGGATTGCATGGCTTGAACATTCTCGCACAGTAAGACAATATCATCCGCATACTCAAGGTCGAGAAGTCTTTCTCCAGGCAACAGATCCACACCATCATTACTTACATCCATCAGAGCTGTTTTCAGAATGTTATCGATAGCAAAGTTAAAGAGGAATGGTGAGATTGGGCAACCCTGCCTAACCCCACTGCTCGAATGGAATAACGGAGAAAGGTGGTTGTATGCCCTCACTCTGCCTGAGGTGTTTGTGTATAGGGCTTTTAGGATGTTAATAAACTTCTCAGGCACACCCTTCTTCAATAGACAATCCCAGAGAACAGTTCTGTCCAACGAATCGAAGGCAGCCCTGATATCAAGAAACACTGCGATTGTTGGCCTTTGATAAGTATGGCGGTGTTCTAACACTTGGCGGAGGGTGAAGATATGATCAATACATCCTCGACCGGAACGAAACCCAGCCTGCTCTTCGCGAGTCAATCATTCTTGGGTTTGGAACAACCTACGAAGTATGACGGAAGCCAATAGCTTGGACGCAATCGGAAGTAGACTTATCCCCCGATAGTTGTTACAGGAACAACGTGAAGCCTTTTTAAAGATAGGGACAACTATCGACTCATTCCATGACGTTGGTACACTCTCTGGTTCCCAGACCTTTGTAAACAACGTCGTCAGTCCCTTAGTCAGAAAGTCACCACCATCTTTAAAAAGAGCCGGATGTAAGTCGTCTGGGCCCGGTGATTTGTAACGTTTCAAGAGTTGGAGTTCCTTGCGGACTTCCGCTTCATTTGGTGGATCAGTCGTCACCGGCCATGGAGAGCAGGACAGTCTGACCGATGTTGCCGGAGCAGTAGGCCAGTTGAACTGCCCTTCAAAGAATTCTGCCCATCGTCCAAGACGTCGATGGATGTTAGTGATTGGCGTTCCGTCATCCTCGCAGATTGTTTCGCTCACACCAGACTTCTTGCTGCCAGTGGCTCGGATGAGTTGGAAGAGCTTCCCGTAATTACCGGATGCAGCTGCTGCTTCCAGCTCATTAGCACGCTCCGACCACCAGGCTTCACGGTCCTTACGCAAGCTTTGCCCGATTTCATTACGTAACATCCTTCGTCTGTGGTCAAACTCACGGTCACCCGGAGTAGACCGACGGGCTTCAATCAGTTGTAAGGAACCAGAAGAAACGCAGTGCTTGTAAGCGGGACGTTTCGCGAATCCACAACAGACTGTACCCGCCATTTTCATGGCGTCATGAAATTGCAACCAATGCTCATCTATACTTTACGGTGGAATGGTAGCTAGCCTAGAAGCTAGCTCGGTTCGGTACTTACTAGCAACAGAAGTTGCAGCCTGCTTGCTAACATCAATCTTTTGGTGGCGGTCACTTCGTTGTCTTCTGAAAAGTAAGGTAAGATTGGCGCAGACCAGAGCATGATCAGATTCCAGATAGGTACTCCAAAAGGAGCGGCAGTCTTGTACACAACCACGCCTGCGGTAGCTGATCGCGATGTGATCAATCTGTATCCAGGCTTGAGATGTAGAAGGGGGACGCCAGGTGGCACATCGGCGATGACTGTGCCGAAAGTTAATGCTAGCCAGAAACAGCTTGTGGTCTGTGCATATTTGCAGTAGACGTTCCCCGTTATCTGTCCTGCGACCAACAAGTCCCCATCGTCCACCTAAACGATTCTCTTCTGTGCCTAGACGCCCGTCCTGAGCATTCAAGTCTCCAGCTAGTACTACAATATTTGTCGAACGCACTTTCTGGAGAAGAACAGATAACTGGTGGTAGAATTCGTCCTTGATTGCATCCGGGCTGCAATCTGTCGGGACATAGGCGGAGATGACGAAAAGACATCGTTTCTCACGCCGATCTCTTCTCACTTTGATGGAACTTTCTAATCTAACAGCACATAACCGACTGTTAATGGGGATCCAGTCGACTAGTGCTGCCTCAGCTCTTGCGCTTAGTGTGACACCAACGCCAGCAAGACCAGACGAAGATGCCACAGGGTCCCCGGATAAACGCACATGAAACAAGCTTTTTGAAGCGACAGATGGAGAGCGAACTTGTAGTACTTCACCAGAGTCTTGAATACGGGTCTCGGATAGACAACACACATCAATATTAAGACTTTCCAAAGACATAGCCAGCCCTATCTGTTGTCCGACCTGCATAAGTGTGCGAACGTTGAAGGCAGCCAGTTCGAATGGTGCACGTGGTTTCAGAAAAACTGCTTCAGTACTCATATTCGGTGGTAACATACAATTTTCAACCAATCAGTGACTCGAGAACGTTTAGATAAAGCTGAATTTTCACCATAGGCGAGCTGCTCTTTAGGTCGAAAGAGATACATAAAGTAGGAATGAGAGGGTGAATAAATGACGTGGTAAAATAATAATAATAATAATAATAATAATAATAATAATAATAATAATAATAATAATAGTAATAATAATACGAGTCATTTCAATGTTAATCAGAGAGAAAGGAATATTTTCCATAAGCAAATAGTTCATCATGATTTTAGTGCGTGGGCTGAGATACTGCCCGGGTGCCCAAACCGAAGCAGGTGGTTTCCTTAGGGGGTCACACTCGGAGCCTTTGACCTAAAGGTCTGACCCATAAGGCAGTGGAGCATCGTAAGGAGATGCAGTCCCATGGAAGCCGGTGACCAACGATTGGTTCATACACCATTTGTTCCTTCAGGATACTAGAGCTCATGTGCACCATTGATTTGGGATCCGGTTAAAGCGCCGGACATTCGCTTTTCGTCCTCTCATTTTCGTAAACAACAGTAATGCCACGAGAATGCAGTGAGTAGGACTTCTCTGACAGAGGCTATGTACGCGTGGCCATGTGAGAGTATTTCGAGAGGGAGGGCGAACCCTCCCCACTCTCGGCCATACCAGGGCATTTGGGGGCCGATTACTGCTTATACTTTTACTACCTCTACCACTATGAGATTTGAATCAACAATTACATGTCTGTGCTAATGTGGTATGGCAACTCGAACTGATGTACGTACGTACAAAGTTCTACGTCCTTACTTACTGACTGACTGACCCCGTTGTATGTATTCAAGTAAATAAATGACAGTATTCAACAGGGAAGATGGTTCTATAAGATGAAAACAAACGAGTGATATGTAAATTATATTGATAGATACGCTCAAAAATCGAAAGGTTTCGATCTCAGTATACATGCACAAATGAATTTTCATTCATACTCCACCACTATTTAATTATATTAAGTTGGTAATTGCATAGTAATCATTCTATTTATATTGAATCATCAGTTCATGCTATCTTGCAGGTTCGTCAAAGTACTCATTCTGATGAGAAAAAGAAACGGTTCCGACTCAATGGTAAGTTAAACTAAATTAAAGTCAGATGATGAGTTATTTTATATGTGTATATGGGATTTGAATCGATAACTGTATCTCTGTGTTAATGTGGTATGGCAACTCGAACTGATGTACGTACGTACAAAGTTGCACGTTGTTACTGACTTACTGACTATATGTGTATATATACATCAGTAAATGTTATTTTAGTTAGTAAGATCTTATCCTGTGCATAGCTGGGAATATATAATAAATGTCATAAGAATAAAATGTGTTGTCTAACACCATAATAATAATGGCCTTATCGAAGTAATGTCTAAACATATAAATGATCTCATAAACCATATTTTTCATTTGCCTATCTCACATGTTCTTTGTTAATGATCTTTTGCTGTATCACTACGTTTAACGTTTATTTTCCATTAGTTCGCTTTTCACCTCGTTAATTTTCACTTTTGACACCAAACTTAGCCCCTAGTACGGTCTAGTGTAGGGAGAGTTTGCTTTCTTTCTCGGAATGCTCTCACTTGGCCATGTGTTTATAGCCTGTCAAGGAATTTCCACTAACTTCACGTAGCAGGGACGTTTTTTACGAAATTGAGATGAGACGCGGGCATTCGACGCCTAAGCCGAATCAGTGGATATGGGAGATTTACCTGGGGGAGTTGAAAAACACTGATTCGAAACCAATGGTGTACAATGGTTTCAAGATCCTGAGGAACCGGATTGATTATGAACCTATTTTGCTCACCAGCGAGCATAGGACCAGACCTTGTGCATTGAACTTCTAGGTTAAAGGCCCGATGAATAACCCTTAGAGAAAACTGTCCGTTGCACTCGGGGAACTGGGGATTATCCTAGCCCACGCATATTGCATGTCATAAGGCGGTACAACTCAATTGCTTGAGCAGTCACCAGACAAGGCTCAAGAGGGAATTCAGTAGCGATAATGCGATAGTTTTCCTTTACGTTTTTCATAAATGTGAGAACTCTCCTAACTGAAAGAAGTCTTTCTGGGTTGCATTTT